ACTTGTATATGAAATTATATCCTGTAATTAATGCATCTTTGAATGTTTGAGATACCGGGGTAATATCACTCGTAAATTCTGTTGAGAGCAAATTAAAAGAAATAACTTACAATTTTTATTTCTGTGTCATTTCTGCCTCGTTTCATTTACTAAGATTCTGTACCTTTGTCTCGTATTACCAGGTACAAGTATGAAATAGTCTCAGTGTAAATTTGACGCCATTTTGGATGTTGTTGTATTTGGCTCAGTTGAAGTCGACCAGTTAGATGCTGTTCTTATATCTTCAATTACGAGGAAGATTTATCTTACGAAACTTTGAGAATCTGACTCAAAGACTTTTAAAATTAAGCACATGTTGAATTTCTCCCACCTAGACATTCCATCCAGTGTACTGACCACCTGACCACATCATAAGGTGTAATCTGACCCAACCCAAGAAACGGTAGTGAAGGTGTTTAACCCCTTCAGTACTATGACTTAGCCCTTTTAATACTATGAGGGTTATGTCATCGTACTCAAGGGGGTTATGTTATCATACTCGAGAGGTTAAGTCATCGTCCTCAGTAGGTAAACACTGTAGCTTGAGTGTAGGAGTCGCCTGTCAACTTGTTCTGGGAGTCGTGACACGTGATAAGGAAGAGGCTGCCACAACAAGTGTAAACAAACAAGCGGAGGTGACGGACACAGGGCACTGGCTGATGATACAAGGGAGAGAAATGTGTCCTGTCCTGCACTAAGCACTCGTCTGTTTTCATTCCCCAGGGCGAGAACTAGTGTCATGCAGGACAATGATACGAGGGTTGTATCCACTCAGCCACCGCCCACTTATAACGAATATACGAAACGTCAAATACAGATTGTTGGAATATTACCACGAACATGACCTCAAAGCATTTTTTTTAATTGGTTTATCTGAAAGTAGGCAACACCAGCCAACCAGATCTAACATAACCAAACCAACCTTACGATCGCTAGTGAAGGTGAGGTTTGGTTTGGTTAGTTTTAGTTTAATATCACTAAAAAATGATAGTTTCATAGACGAGTTCCTTGTATTTTTTCTAGCACTGTAAGTATTTTATTGCTAAACCTCAAAGTATGTTAAATACAATGACTAATAAGCACCATGGGGAAGGCAACAAGCTAACCCACTTGTAGTAAATTAAAAAAAAATACTTTGTTAGTGAAAACAGACGATTCTAGAGGAAAATTCTTATCTCATTGACGATTAGAAACGACTATAAGGAAATAAATATATTAAGAGGAATTTATAAGAAAAATATCGTATTTGTGAGAAGGGTCGAAATATATCTTGGAGAAAAGACTCGAATCTAACATGAAAAATATCTCGTTGGTGAGGAAAGACGAAGCTGTAAGGACATATATTAGTTGGTGTAAAGTAATGGTCTTCTTCACCCGTGTGTGTGTGTGTATGTGTGTGTGTGTGTGTGTGGCAGAACCACGTATTGGAATGTCAGGTGTAGTCACGTTAAATTAATAGTGTGTATAATAGTAATGTGTTAATAATAGTAATTTGATAATGACAATAACAGTAATAGTAATGATAAAATTTTATTTAATTATATAAGTAGCAGTAACAGTAGCAATGAGGTTAACAGTAACAGGAATGATAATAATAATAATAATAACAATAATAATAATAATAATACAACAACCATAAAAACCTTCTTTTCATGCACTCTCCTCTCCCCCTTACCTCTCCCCCTCACTCCCTCACCTCCCCCCCCTCACCTCTCCCTCACTCCCCTCACCTCTCCCCTCACCTCTCTCTCACAGTCTGTATACAACAAACACTGGTGAATTTCTCAACAACTTACGTCACTCTTTAAGTCGAAGCTCTTCAGGGAAAACAAATAATCCACTGTTTTTCTCACGCGATTCTGTTTTATTGAGGTACTAGAGAGAGAGAGAGAGAGAGAGAGAGAGAGAGAGAGAGAGAGAGAGAGAGAGAGAGAGAGAGATCCGTGTAATAATAAGTATCTCCTCACCTCTGGTCCATTCCAATTGGTACAAGTCATGTATAAAAGAGGGGGGGGTGGGTATCGTTGACCTCAGACGATACAGGAGAGGGGGTATCGCGTTTTTAATGGGCGTATGCCGAAGATGCGATCACCGATTTGATTATGGTGTTCTGAAAATATTATCCCTAATGCTTAAACGGCTAATTTTCCCCCAGTCTTTGTTTATATCGTATTCCTTTGTTCGTGTGTGTGTGTGTGTGTGTGTGTGTGTGTGTGTGTGTGTGTGTGTGTGTGTGTGTGTTATACTGTCTTCGTTCCATAATCTCTCTCTCTCTCTCTCTCTCTCTCTGGATATATGCAGTGGAAGAATCACAAATTGCTTTTATTAGTCAGTGGTGTGAAATCTAAAATGAGGTTCATTATAGAAAGCGGGTTGATAAGTAGTCGTGGTGATCGAATACGAAGATTTAGGTTTGAGAGAGAGAGAAAGAGAGAGAGAGAGAGAGAGAGAGAGAGGGAGAGAGAGAGAGAGAGAGAGAGAGATAACCAACTAACACTAGGGGCGAAGGTGAGAGGAAATAAACTCGTGGAAATATAAAAACAATAAAGACTTAGAATGAAAAAAAATTCAGAAGAGAAACGTGAAAAAAAATTGAATGATAAAAGAAGAGAGAAACATGAAGAAACAAAACCACAAAAGAAGAAAACTTGAAGGAAACAAAACCCCGACAGAAGAAAAACACGAAGAAAAAGAAAACCCAAAGAAAATAAAAAGAGGGATATAACATAGACTCGAATATAAACAAGATCTCAGAGAAAATGTATTCACTTGGATAAGTTAAGGAGAAACTATGCTATTTCGCCCTCATTAGTGACGATGATTTCAGAGCCTTGGAACAGAGGTGTAAGGCGCTTGGAGCTTCGTTAAGGGGGAATAAGAAGTGACCTCGGGAGAATTCTCTTCTTCTTTTTTTTTTATCTTATAAATATACATTCTCTTTCGGTTTTATCGGACTCACGGGGATAGTTACACTTTGGAAATTATCGCATATTACGTCGTTCATGTGATGTGTGTGTGTGTGTGTGTGTGTGTGTGTGTGTGTGTGTGTGTGTGTGTGTGTGTGTGTGTGTGTGTGTGTGTAATCACTCATAAAACATCCCACACATAAAAGGAAATATGTGTAGCATCTTGGTTGTGGTAGACAGGAAAATTTACGGATTTGTAAAGGCTCTACAATTAAGAGGCATTTATGAGGTAGGTATATCATGGTGGGTGACTCTTGCTATTGTTTATTGTTTAAGATCAAAGGGAAAGAGTTTATTTTTTTGGGGGGTGGGGGGTTTGATTTAATAAATGTCAGAGTGAAAGTATTAGAAATTTGAGGTACATGTTTCTCACTTGATTTATACATGTTGAAGTAATGGTAATACAGATTATTATTATTTTTTCTCTTTGGTATTATCTGTCTTGTTCTCTCTCTCTCTCTCTCTCTCTCTCTCTCTCTCTCTCTCTTATACGACTTCGTTCCAATTAGCATGGACATGTAAACATTAAGTTCTTATGTACCAATGCGGAAGGTGACCCACTGGCTTGGCTCGCTACCACCGTCATGAACTCTCTCAACACCACCAGGTAAAATACAGCTTCGTGTATTATCTTCGCAGCCAATTAACACAGGTACACAGGATGTCCCAGAAACATATATACACTCGGCTTTACAGGTTTTCGTGGAAATTTCTTTAAATTGTGTGTAAAACAACAACAAAATTGTCTTGAGTTGTGAGAGATCTTGCACACCAACAACTTAGGACACTGTTGTTGTTGTAATATAAATTTTCAAGCAATATCCACTAAACTCTGTAAAGCTGTGTGTGTGTGTATATGATTCTGAGACACCCTGTGGATGTGCGGGTCACTCGGAGGGACTGGTTACTGAATAAAATTGGTTCAGTTAAGTTGGGTTAGGGTAGGTTAAATTGTGTCAGCCTTGGTTAATTTTGGTTATGCTTGGTTAGGGTTACGTTAAGTTAGGTTAGAATATGTCACGTGTGTACCACAATAACTGTGAGAGCGAGACTTGGCTGATGAGTTAGAAGACGTATTTAGGGTGGTCACAGAGGATGGCAGTCGTGGAGGAACCGTATGGTAAGCTGGGCGTTGTAGTAAAGTGGTCCTCGTGGTCAGGTGGTCCTCGTGGTAAAGTGGTCCTCGTGGTCAGGTGGTCCTCGTGGTAAAGTGGTCCTCGTGGCCAGGTGGTCCTCGTGGTCAGGTGGTCCTCGTGGCCAGGTGGTCCTCGTGGCCAGGTGGTCTGCGTGGTAATGGTCGCTGTAGTAAGGTAGCCGCTCCAGTAAGCTGGTGGCTGGAGTATGATAACCAAACTTGTCGTAACAGCGTGATAGTCGTCGGATTATACTTGTAGCAACGCGAAGTGGTCGTCGGAATGTTGCCACAGTCGCTACCCAGAACGTCTTGGGGTTGGTGGTGGTGGTAGGGAAGATGTTTGACAACATTGTCGCACCTGGATTTTCAGGTCCTCAACATTCTTACTTGGATTAGCAACAAGTTTCCATACCCAACCACCCGTTCCCTCGCTCGCTCTCTCTAACTGTAAATTTTTGTGTCTGAGATAAAATATTCATCTGATACTATTAGCAACTAAATACCGCGTGTCTGCCATGAAATTCCTAGATAATCATTTTTTATTATCAATTTATATCGCTTATTCTCCTCTGTGTAAGGTCTACTATTCTCTGTTTTTATATGGAAGAAAGTAAAGTATATTTGCGTGTGACAGTAAATAGACTGTGATTGCCAGAATACTGTTGGAAACTTTATGAGGAAGCGTCTCTGCGCCATTTGTATGTCTCCCCAACAGAGAGAGAGAGAGAGAGAGAGAGAGAGAGAGAGAGAGAGAGAGAGAGAGAGAGAGAGCCGCTGCTGTTGTGTAAATAGGCAAAAATTTAAAGCCAGACTATAAACCAAACAGTAATTTTTTTCGGGGTGTTTGTGACGTTGTTTTAATGGCCTGTGTGGCAATTAGCTGGGCGCCTGAGATAACAAAAGGGCGGCACGCGACCCCTGACCTCACCCAGGAGAGATGCCATCAGCACAATGGCCGCGCCACAACCTCCAGTACTTACCACAACCTCCAGCTTGTGTCACAACCTCCAGCTTGTGTCACAACCTCCAGCATGCACCACAACCTCCAGCATGCACCACAACCTCCAGCATGCACCACAACCTCCAGCATGCACCACAACCTCCAGCATGCACCACAACCTCCAGCATGCACCACAACCTCCAGCATGCACCACAACCTCCAGCATGCACCACAACCTCCATTACAAACATCCTTAGATAAGTCACAGAAAAAGTAATAATAATCAACCAAAATTATAACACAAGTAAATGAGGCATAAACAACTTAATTGTAGAGATAAACAAATTATTCAATTGGGTCAACACAACGAGATTAACAGATCAACACAGAAGCCAGATCGTGTTATCACCCAGCCAGGCAGTCAATGATTACACCAAAATATCTTCAGATTTAATAGGTTTTTATCAGGTATAATTGACTCTCTTATAGACCTGAACGCGACGATAAAGGTTTTGGGTGAAAGTTTTGTTGGATTAGAACGTCACTGAGTCAGGTCTGATAAATGGGATACACAATTTTGCTGTTTGTGAATGTTGTTGCCAAGTCACTGTGGTTGAGTGCATTAGTTGAGTTAGTCTGGTGTGTGTGTGTGGGGGGGGGGAGGGAATGTTGGAGTGGGTTGTTAGGAAGAGAGGAATAACGTGGTGGAATGTGGATGTGTGGATAATGAGGAGAAGAAGAAAGAAACGAAAGAAGATAATGAAGAAGAAGAAGAAGAAGAAGAAGAAGTTTTTATACATGAAGAAGATACCTAACCTAACCTAACCTAACCTAACCTAACCTAACCTAACTTTCGAGGCACTTGTCAACCTAACCCAAAATAGCACCGTTATCAACCAATCAATATCCAAAATAACAGAACACATGAACCTGTTGATTAACACGTCACAACCACAAGTAATTCACAACTATGAATAACAAAACTGTATGAATCTTATCAAATACAGTGAATAAACCTCATAGTTTTTATCTTACAATAAACCCTTAAGAACAAAATCAGAACGGTATGCTGGTCTTTCATCATACATCATCAATTATAACGTAATGTATGAACCGTCTCACCTGTAAATAACATGACGTATGAGGTTCAGGTATATACAGCACAGGTGGTTACTCAGCTGCCATACTGGGACTTGTATGTAAAACAGCTATTCTTCAGAGTCGAGTGCCTGGCGTGATTATCTTACCTCCACCTGAGTGTTATGGTAGTGAGGCCTTCCCCAACCCTTCACTATCCCTAATTGCTGATATATGGTCGCTGCTTCCATACCTGGGTCATTGGTAATTCCCGCTTATAAACACAGATTTACTCAGCATGGCTAAACAGGGCCCTGAGGGGGAGTAAGGGGAGAGGTGAATGGTTTATCGTCATTGATGGTGATTCTATTTTAGATACCATATTGGCTTTACCTCTCAGTGTCTCATTACCCTGTGTAGAGGTTCTGGATTATTATCTCAGTGAATTCAATTGCAAGGAGTTGAATATTCATCAGTAGATAAGATAGTGATTAAGATCTTTCAGTGGAGATTGGCTTTATCGAGGCCTTTGTTTGCGTTGTACAGCTGCTGCCGCTTTTTACTAACAACTTTTTTGTGTTCCTTTTGTTGTGTGTGTGTGTGTGTGTGTGTGTGTGTGTGTGTGTGTGTGTGTGAGTGTTTCATAGCATCGTCACAGCGGAGGGTAAAGTAAAAGGGCAAGAGGCGGAAAATGCTAGTGTTATTTCAGCATCTTGGGAGACTAATGGTTCCGTCACTAAGCAGTTTGTTACCTTAATGGCTACGTGTGTGTGGCCCAACAGTATAGTGCTCTCTGTTACACACTTAACCTGCTTTAGACATGAAGTATAAATGTGTGTTTGTGGTAAGGTACACACACACACACACACACACACACACACACAGAAGACCTCTCTGGCATACAGTAACGTATCAACAACCTTTACAACTGCGTTCAAACTTTAAAAAAACTTAATTCATTTTTGACAAGGCGTCCACCTCTGGCTGTGTCATCGAGTGGTATAAGTGAACCCTTCCTCCTGACCCAACCACAGTAAACACCTTCTGATGTTTTTATTTAACTGTGTATGAATATCTCTCTTTCTCGCTGCCTCTTTATAGTAACATTAACCAACTATATGAATGCCATCCCTGACTCACTCTATATGGACATCTTCTTTCACTCACACCCGATTATAAATGCATTAACCAGTACTATGAATACCACTGTGACTGACTTAGGAAGGTTTTTTTTGTATAGTGGCCGTGTACCATAGAGATACCGTGGATGATTGGCTGCCAGACGCACGATTATCCCGATGTTGTTATACTCTACGATGTTTGGGTGACAGATTTCAAGCCATCATTATATAAACCACTAAATTTCGTTATATTTTTTCAGTTTTATTATGGGTTTATTTCGTTATAACTGATGTAAACATAGTTCGTTAACCAGTACGATATCTAGAATCTGTGGTATCAAACTAATTTTTTACTCAGTGTTTTGGAGATGTCGATTGGTGAAGGATATAACCACTCAGGGCCTCGCCAAGTTATCTGATGAAGAAATCTTGTCTATATTTTTTATTTTTCTATTTTTTATTTTCTCGTCTAAATATTGTGAGAGTGAAGAATTATAAAGATCTAAACAAATATTTTCCACCAAATACGTATTAATTCTTCGCTTTTAAGTATGAAATTTACACGAATATACGATACAACAGAGAAAAAAATATATATATCGTGAATGATCTGTAGCCTTGAGAAACGGGAGGATATTGCTTGATAAACCACAAACTGTATGAAGACACGATGTTCAAGTGTTAACGTAGTTTTATACTGTATTGTGTAAGTTAGTTTTTTACAGTGTGTGTGTGTGTGTGTGTGTGAAATATACTCGAATTTATGATACAAAAAAATAGACCTTGAATATATTAATCTCGTTTTATATATCCCAGTTAGTTTCTCTCTCTCTCATTTTTTTTGTACTAACCGACCAATTTGTTGATTCCACTTGAGTAGCACACTGATTCGGGTCCATAACCCCTAATGACAGGTTACATGCTAAATACCTACTTAATCCAGAGTAATATATCAGTTCATCTGGCAACAGTGAACGGACAAGATGATATTTTATTGATTATATGTTTAATGGTAGTAGTGTGTTATTATGGTCGATCTCGCTAGTATAAAATGATAGAGAAGTCAAGATGTAAAATTTTTGTGAATTGTAGTTTAATGTGATCTTATAATTATGTAAATTAATGTTTTTTATGGTTTAACTGTTCTGTAATATCTGGTTTGGTTTATAAGGAAAGTTTAATGTTAATGATTGAGGTGATTAACCATTTTGTGTTTTAACTTTTAACTGGGAATGTAATAATGTATTTAACTAGTTCACTTTAACCCCATCACCACATTAACCTGGGACTCTATGGTAGTTAGTTATGTTATTTAACCAGTTGAGTTCTATAGACATTATACCTTGCTCGTATTAGCGGTTAATTCATTGATGAAAAAAAAATCTTTGGTTGCTTCGAGTACATTTCAATTTCGTTTTATTTTTCATGTTTTCGGGGATTAATTTTTTTAGTTCGTTTTATTGTGTAGTCATTCACTTACCTCCGTGTTACCTGTGCTACCTGTGTTACCTGAGTTACCTGTATTACCTGCCGGGTCAGTGTAATTAAGACGGCTGTGTTAAGGTGGTTTAGGGAACAAGATGGCGATTTAATTTCTCAAGGACTTCAGTTAGTTGATTTAGACTGTAAGTGTAGTGAACTAAAGGAAGGGGAGAGAAAGAGATGGGTATTAATGGCCACTGAGATGCGTTATACCACACTTTACTAAAACACATCATCCCTCAAACCCAAGAGAAATATACATCAGTCAAATCAGGAAAGACAGGTATTTGGGTTCACGAAACACAACTCAAAATGGAAGTGAATAATTTACACCAAACTTTTTTCTTCATCACTTTCAGGTAGATAAGTTACTGATTGACGACACCATGATTACCATACATCGTCTGTGTTCCCATCATCGCCACCATACTTCTTATGTGGTTCCATCTCATCCCTGTCTATCCTTTAACCCAGAGAAGCGAGGGGATCGTAGACTACTTTTACAACAACAAACAATCTCAGTGTTACCACCTCATTTCTAAGCTTTGGTCATAACACCCCCTCAGTGTTACCAATTAGAGCTCAACTACACTACACTACACTACACTCATGAATCACTTAGCTCACTGTCAAAGCTAACCTTTCTGAGCCAACACGCCAGCGGCTGCTCCAGGGTGTGAAGAACTCATAAAGGAAGGTAAATAATGGTAATTACTACCTCTACAACCTTTCCTACAATTAAGGGAACAGCCTGGTGTGTATTGGGTAAGGAAGGAGAGCCACACGTCCATGAGGGTCATTTTATATCACTTGTGTGCAGAATGAGAGAGAGAGAGAGAGAGAGAGAGAGAGAGAGAGAGAGAGAGAGAAAGAAAGAGCGAGGTAAATTAAACACAGCCCTGAGCGTTAAGTACATTAGCACCTCACACAGCCACATATACGACACGGCATGTTGGCTTCCATGCCTCCCTCCAGCCTCCTGAGTCCCACACCGTCATAAGAGCCACTTCGTCTGCAATGCAAAACAGCAATTTGCAAGACGCGAGGGTGGCGGCTTCCTCTAGGACACCGCCGCCGCCGAACACGTGAAATACGAAGAACTGGTAATTTAGGAGTCATTTGCATTAGTTTCGTAAGTGCAGGGAATGACCGCTGCCTTCCACAAAAACTGTGACCCCGAAACATATCGTGATGATAGCTCCCTGGCCCCGGTGGTGTTCTTGAGGCGAGCGTGTTCACTTTGTCTTCGTTAACGCCAGGCATCACTGTTCGTCCTGGGTTCTCGACGCTGGTATGTGCTGAAGAGGCATTTAATAACGCCACACGTCTCTTTTTTCTCTCCATCACTGACGCTATGTGCTGAAACTTCATTTAATATACACCGTTTGGGAACACTTATGAGACACTGATGATAATAGAGTGCCAGGGTGTATTAGACTGAAAAAAAAACCCTCGAAACTGTGGAAGAGTTAAGATCGTTGCTAATAATGTACCCCCCAAAATACACGAAAAATTCCCACCAATATCACGTTAAGTTACCAGCGAAAATTCCACCTCTTTCTTCTTAGACGGACATATTAAGAGGATGAGTTACTCT